GCAATTAATTGTTAGATAAAATTTCATGCTCGTGACAGGCCTAGTATGTGTATGTGTGGGCTACCAAATAGCAGTGTCTTTAAGAAGCTCACTTTTTAAACAAACTGAAAAGGTGTACAAACCTTTCGCTGATGACGGAAGCAGCTCTCGTCTATCACAACAAACTCTTTTCGACCACCAAGACACTGCCTACTCTTCCTTCTGTGTCTGTCCATTGCACAAATACAAACCTCCCGAATGCACCTTGCCATTTTTGTCAGTGTTGTGGAGCTGCCAGCAATATCATCACTGATCATATCAATCTGTCTGAGCCTGAGTCCTTGTGAAAATCTGTAGTAGAAAGAAATAATGTAATACATACTGATAAGACTTCTGTAGCCATGTGCGTACCTTAAAAGTATGTGTTTATAATGCATTTATAAAAGACAGTCTTATATTGCTATTTTTCATTTTACAAAAATACAGTATAGCACCTGTAAATATACTTCATCCAACTGAAGAGAGATGATTTAGACTTTTCAAACAGGGAGCCAGCTCTGATAGTTTTTGAGACTCTTCCATGACCTGCTCTTTTACAGCACCTGTAAACATGCCAAACATGTATCATTGTGTTTTTCTACATTACACCATGTTGTGATATATTGAACACACTTCACACTGCGTTATTATTAATGATTTAGCAGCAACTACACATGCCTGTAGATTTAGTAATTTATTTATTAGTAATAATAATAATAGTAATAGTAATAATAAAGTAATAATGAAAAGAAAAAAGGATAATGTTTATGATAATTTTAGTATAAGTGTGATGTTCTGTTCAGTGGAAATTAGCAGGCCATTTCACCTACCAGATGTACTGGTCCTTCTTCGTCACAGACACCATTTTCATTTTGTGGTGGCAAAGAGTGCATCTGATCTTCTCCTTTAGAAGGTGTTTCTTCTGCAACCACTTAATTAACTCCAGTGTCTTGCTTTTTGTTTGTTTTCCTTCAATCCGGGCCCGCAACTTTGTTTCCAGAGACATTCTGCTGAGGGAGTACACACTGACAATTAACAAAAACATGTCTGAAATACCTTTATAATACAAGCTTTTCAGCTTTTTGGCATAATTTAATTTTTCACTTTATATGGTAAAACTATTCACACTAGAAAGACTGCACACTAAAGTACAATGTAATAGAATCCAGAATCCAAAATAATTAAATGTGTCCACGAGGGGGAATAACTAGTTTAAAAATATGGGTATTATAGCATTTATATAGAACAGTATTGCTGAATTGAAGGTGCATATCAGAATCATAGCAATAAATTGGCTCATGTCACCCTTTACTTTATTTATCTCATTGCGTCTATTCTGCTGTTTAAAAGGGTCATTCAGGTTTACAATTTGCAAAGCTTACCTGTTGTGGATGTCTCCTAGCGCAGAGTATATGGTGCCGTCTGCTTCCAGTCGATTTAGGTGAAGAAAATACAATCCAAACACGATTTTGGCGCTAGAAAGTAAAGATCCAACCACAGACGATGATATGGAAACATCCAATCACAGGCAAGCTTGTTGATGACGCGCGCTACCGCCTCACCCGGGCTTGGCCGTAGACGTCTTTTTTTAAGAATCATGGACAATCTAGATGGAAAGAATCGTGTTCCTCTGCGACCTCTGCTGCCAGTACTCGTCCTAAGAGGGTCCCAAGGCATCAGCAGATGCGCCAAGTCTCAACAGATGAACGAGAAAGTAAGTTTTTCATGTTATTTTATTATCTGTCCATCAGCTAATTAAACTATTTGGTAGCTGTCTAACGTTACCAGACTTTACTTGGCTGGGTAGCAGTTAGCTAGCTAGTTCGCCACAGAGGTTGCTAAGCTAGCTAACCGCTAGTTAGCTAACGTTAGCTAACTCGCTTAACGGTTTTCCTGCATATGTTGTTATATTCCAGTGCCACTGAAGTGAAATAGCTTTCCACAGAGGTAAATAAGCGAACGTATTCGTCCATAGTTCGGTTTTGTAGATATGTTTAGGTTGTTTTTTGCACCAAAATCACGTGTTGAAATATTAGGAATATAACGGTAGTGCTTTGCAACCGCGTTGTGCTTCCTGACCGCAACTTCTAGCCTACGTTTTTGTAGTGAACTATTTTAATAATAGTAATGATAATAGCAATAATAATAATTACAAAAATAACAGTATGCTTCAGTTTTAAGGTGTGTATGTTTCTGTTTAACCTAAAAAGTGTTCACATAAGCTTTGAAACAGTTAATATGGCAGAGTTTGGATTTGTGTTTAAATGTGTTGCAGAATTTAATTTTTAAAGAAAATTGACACTTTGCTAGATGTTACACCAATTTCTAAACAGATCCATGGTGAAAATGTTGAGTTGTGGTAAGGTAACCAGGTATCCAGTATATCTGTAAGTAGTGAAAATTTTACTACTGAAACCATAATTCAGGAAATATTCAGCTGAAAACCAAAAGAAAGTGTTATTTTTTAATCATCATGTTGGGAAAGAGAACTGGGAAAACTAGAGAACTAATTTAATTTCAAGCAGCTCGCTATATAGGCTTGTACATTGTGTGCTGCTGTGTCTGATCCACTCGTAACAGGGCAACACACACTAACACACCACCACAACGTCAGTTTCACTGCACTGCTGATAATACCTGCTCTGTGAGGGTCCATGGGGGTCCTGACCACTGAAGAACAGGGTAAGAAAGTATGCAGAGAGACAGAGGGACTACCGTCTGTAACTGTAGAACTAGAAAGTTGTGTGCATGTTTACATAAAGTATGAGTGCCTCAAATGGCCAAAAAAAAAGCTTGGAATGGGGTATCTATTTTGAGGTTGTAGAAAGATATGGGGACAAATGTATTGGCATGCATTAATAATGTCAGTTTACTTTTCTAAAGCTCAAAATGTACACTACAGATCTGAGTCAAACCTAGTGTTGACACTTTGATATTGTACAATAGATTCAAGTTAGAATGAAGAACAAATCATGTGACTTGAAGATATAGTCTGTTATATATGCATGTATTTATAAATACAATATACATTGAGGTGAGTTAAATGGCCAAAACTAATAATTTCTAAAAACTAAAAACTGATTCAGCCTTGGTGTTGACACCTGTCAGACACTGTAGAATAGAATCAGGTTGGAAAGAAGGATATGTCACGAACTTTAGTAAAGATATAGAGCCAATTGGTAATTATCCTGTACATTGGGGTGGTTACCTTACAACAACTCAACATTTCCACCACCTGTTTCATAATTTGTGTAGACACCTGTAATATTTCGCAAAGAATCAGCTTATTTTGAAATTAAATTCTGCAACACATTGAAACACAAAATCCAAACTCTACCATAAGAAGGACGTGCCCACCATAATTTACAGGCAATAAATTACATTGTTATGGCCTTGAGTTAGACCAATTAGAATATTTTAAGTCTCACTATCTAACAAGTTATAAATATGTGTTTTTCCAGACTGTAAATGCTAACTGACTAGCACAGTCTGGTCCCAGTATTTATACTTGTTAACCTTTTTGTGGATGTGAGCCTTTTTGGCTGACTGGCAGAAATGTCACCAACAGAGATCAGCTACATGAAAGACGTGAATGTGGCTAGTGAATATGACATGAAATCTGTAAATTGGAGCTGTCAGTGTTGTATTTACAATGGCTAGTGATTATATTTTTTACATTTATCCTGAAAATTAATTGAGTCTGACTGTTTTTTTTTGGCCTCGAGATTTTTTACCAGTCAGCCAGTCTATTGCGGTCAGATGGCAAGAGCAAAAATGACAATGTAGAGTTTGAATTAAGCAAATGTTCTGCCATTCTAATTTTTATAATGTCTGTTTTTTTAGGTTCAGCCTCTGACCTAGCCCCTACTGCAACAGTACTTCTTAACAAGGAGAAACAAGAACTGACCTTTCTAAAGGAGAAGTTGGAATGGCAGAAGAAGAAGATTGAAGAACTGGAAGAAGAGAGAGATTTTCTCATCAACAAAAGAGTTATAAGCATTATATGATAAGTACTGGGCAATAGAAAATAACCTAGCCTCACTTTTAAGTATATGGACCACTTCTATGAATGAAAGTATTTACAGTATGTGTATATAATAATAATAATAATAATAATAATAATCTGTAGAGTAGAATCTTTTCATGCCAGTGGTAACTTAAAGTACTTTGCAGACAGGTGATAATGTTTAACAATAATACAAGAAATTCTAAGTATTAATTTAAAATTATATAGCATTACACAAGACAGTGACACAAATCAAATTAAAAGAATTCAAATAGACTTAGAATTTTAATTAAACACTGAAGAGATGCTTTTTCAAATGTTTATTAAAAGTGAGCACTGAGCTTGACTGTCTAATAAAATGTGAACTGAGCTCCACAGTTTAGAAGCAGAATAACAGAAAGAGTCTCTCCACGTTTTCTGTATTTTATGGAAGGAATTCTGTTGATTCATTTTATTATGAAAATGAATTGCAAACTTCACAACTTTTAGAAGATAAATCACCATGAGACACACTAGCAGACAAGTTAGGGTTAATTAGTTGGTCTGTGGTAGAAAAACGCTTGTTGGTATTATCTGTGTTTATTAATTACACTAGGGAAATATGACTATCTGGATATTTTCATGGCAGTATTGTAGGTGGAGATCTGCTCTTTGAGAATAATGTGCCTGCAGTTTAGTTTTCCTCCATAAGCGCTCTGATTTACAACAGTTTCTCTTGAGCTGGTGTATTTCCTTATTCATCCATGGATTTTTATGAGTATGCAAGTTTTCTTCCATTCAACTGGAGCGAGAATGTCAAGAGTTTTCTTTAATCTAGCACTTAGATCAGAGACCGAATCACTACAGGAAGTAATCAGAGCTGTATTCGATGAATTGTTATAAATGTTTTTAAACTTCTCCAACTGTAACAAGTCACTTTCAGGCACATTCTTCCTATAATAATATGTACTTTTCAGTTAAAACAAAGGAAGAAACCATGGACACTCCAGTCAATGTGAATGATTCTGAAAGCTCTGATACATCATCCTCATCTTCTTTATCCTCATCCTCATCTTCAACCCCCAAGAAGCGCAAGCACAAATCCAAAAAGAAGCACAGCAAGGGTGCTAAGAAACACAAGGAAGAGCACAAGAAGTTTCGACAGCGTGGTAAGCCGCAAATAATTGTTACAGAGGTGTTTGTGCACTGGCAGCATGTATAGGTCATGCAAAAACATTCTTCTTTAGGTTTAGAGTTAGGTCTTGATTTCAGAATTCAGCCTGTTGCTATTAGCCTTCTAAGGTATAGAGTCATAGATGGTAGTTAGCTATGCTAGCTGCCCCAGAAATAGTAACCATGAAATTTTGGATCTTGCTTAATTTGGCAAATTCTTATAACTGATAACCGACTGTAATTGGTTGGCGATTTACTTTGAACTTGCAGGCTTAAAATTAAGGATTCAATTCATCAAACTATCATTTATAAAATGGGCTGTTACGGCTCTGAAATCTGATAGCTTGGAATATGTAAAATAGTTGTATACTTGCACTTAAGAGTGTGTACTTCAATTGAATTTAGTATTAATGCACTGAGATTTTAGAAAGTGTTCCTTTCATTGACCATGGACATACTGCTGATAGGTCAGACCAGGCATAGGCATGTATATGAAGTAAACGCCCCATAAGCATACCATACGCAGGAGTTTTGATTTAACTGTGGGGTTGGCAACTTTAATGTGATCATAATTACATGACCAAAAACTAAAAAGTTGAAAGAATGACTGGAATATAGAATAGGATACTGAAAGTTTTCAATTCTCATTGTATGTCACAGTATGTCACAATAAGCTTTTCTGGGCATATTGTGGACATTGTTAATACTTAAAAACATTTCTCAGCTGCAAAGAGGGCAAAATTAGTTGTGTTTTGCTGAATGTAACTTGACACCTGTTTGTCTGTTTTTAACTAATCATATTGCCCAACTTTAGTTGAAGCACGATTGACTATTGCGATTTTCTCTGCAGTGAAACCTTTTTACAACATGTCTGTTTTTTCCTGTCTAGTACAAACACCAAGTGAAATTGTATGCCGCTACAAATCCATCCTTAAAACATTACCAAAAGCAAAGACCATGACCAGGGCCTTCCAGAAGCATGCCATTGACAGGAACACTGTGGTGTCCACTTCAGCGATTGGAGAGCTCGCTATTGCTGCTCCTGAGGTATATGAAGAGGTACTGGCCAAGAAGCCTGGTGGAGAGACAGTGCTGGCCTTTGCTAAGCGGTGTGAGGCTGCTATTCAAGGAGATGAAGATGTGAAAGAGAAAATAGAAAGCATGAAGGCTGGGTGTACACTTCTCCCCATTAGGAGAAGCAAACCTGTTTAATGGCTGTTTGCACTTGGTTGTGTTAAAAGTTTAGGTGGCATGTTGTTTTAAGTTAAAGTGAAAACCAAAATTTAAAATGCAGCAGTATGTGAGGGTTGTTTTTGGTTTGTTTAGGTTTTTACTGAAAACTGTTTGTTTTTTTAGGTAGGGACTTGGTAAACATTTAGATGGATTTAATTTAAAATCTGGTATAAGGAATGTGGTGAGTAACATTTTGTTTATTTCAAAGACATTTTTATTTAAAGAGTAAATTACCATAATAAAGGTCTGTGCACTTTTAGTTGACAGTTTAAATGTCAGTCTCCTTTGAACTTTGTATTTTGTTGTGCAAATAAAACTATTTTTCTCATTTCTGTTGTCATGACATTGTGAAGATTTTTATTGCATAAATGTAAACACATACTAAATGAGTGTTAATAACTGATTAATAAATGGTGAAGTGTTTTACGCTTTAAAATAAGGCTCCCTTTTGGAGGTTATAAGTGTTAGTAACTGATTAACAAACGGTGAAGTGTTTAACGCTTTAAAATAAGGCTCCCTTTTGGCGGTTATAAGTGTTAGTAACTGATTAACAAACGGTGAAATGTTTTATGCTTTAAAATAAGGCTCCCTTTTGGCGGTTATAAGTGTTAATAACTGATTAATAAACGGTGAAGTGTTTTACGCTTTAAAATAAGGCTCCCTTTTGGTGGTTATAAGTGTTAGTAACTGATTAACAAATGGTGAAATGTTTTACGCTTTAAAATAAGGCTCCCTTTTGGTGGTTATAAGTGTTAGTAAGTCATTAACAAACGTTGAAGTGTTTTATGCTTTAAAATAAGGCTCCCTTTTGGTGGTTATAAGTGTTAGTAACTGATTAACAAACGGTGAAGTGTTTCATACTTTAAAATAAGGCTCCCTTTTGGCAGTTGTAAGTGTTAATAACTGATTAATAAATGGTGAAGTGTTTTACACTTTAACATAAGGCTCCCTTTTGGAGGTTATAAGTGTTAATAACTCATTAACAAATGGTCATAGACCATTTGAGATGCAAAGAAACATCAAACCAAACACGAAAGCCTGAAATCTGTGAATCAACAACTGCAACATTGGAAACTACAGGATGGTCTTGGAGCAGAGTAAGTAATAACTTGGGATCTTTTAAACAGGTCACAGAATGTTACACCTGGAATGCTGTTCTAAAGAAGATGCCACTCAACCCCAGTGATCACAATAGGGCATTCACGCCTGGTGTACATTAGCATCTGGCAGCATTATATCAATACTTACGACAATCATGAGGAAGATGTCAGATAGTATGCTGAAAATGTCAAGTTACAGAATAGTGCCTTATGAATATGAATTTAGTCATTTCAGGTGTTAATGTATGTCTCATCATTATTAATATTGATTGGTGTTTAAATGGTTAAACTTATCAACAAATATGTGATGAAGCTGACAGGTCAAATGCTGACTGATGGAGAAGACAAAGTAAGATTAGAATTCGACAAGATCTGAAGTTTAACGGTAAAAATGGATGTGGGCTCACTATTTGGCAAACAACAGGCCACTGTTGTCCTTTCTACTTATGTCTTATAACTGCTTATTAATGGTTTTTAAGGTGTTTATAACCTAATTAATAACCACTAATAAACTCATTTTTAAACCATTTATAAACCCTTTATAAAGGTAGTCTTATTTTAAAGTGGTACCAAAAAAAGAAACAGCTGTTGTTATGGTTACAAGTTATAAATAGAGCGCACAGGTGACAGGGGAGCTGGGAATAAAGGATGAAGCACGAAGCTGAAATGTATCCCACAATTCGGAGCCCCAAACAAGCTCTCCTGAATCGGTTTATTAATGCGTATTAGCATGACCTCATTGTCTGAGCTAATTGGACTTATTAATCATTCCTAATGTCCCGGGCCGCGGTACGCTAAATTGGTTTATGAGACCGGAGTGTTCGTGTTTTATTTAGCGGATGTACATTTAGGCACAGCGTGATGAAGTTTGGTGTAATTCATGCTCTCGTTTTCCCTCTTGTCCCTGGCATTTGTGTCATACACATTGTTCCGTGCCTCTGCACGGCGCTCTCGAAGGGGCAGCGCATGCAACCGCAATTAGAGGCAGCTCGAGGTTTTAATGAAGAGGCGCAGGCTCGGCAGCAGCCACCGCCGCGGCGCTTGAGACGTCGCCAGCGGCTGTGACTTCAAAGCTGCTGATATGGCTGCGCAGGGGAAGGCTGAGAGCAGATAACAGCCTTGTCTTTGATTCGTGACTCTCCAGCTGAGGCCATGGACTTATATAGGGGTCACCAGGGGATGGTATGTGAAAGGCTCCCATCATCCCTGTAGAAGTGATTTTTATAGTCATGTGACTGTTGTAAGAAATGGTGAGTATATAGGAGAAGGGAGAAATGAATCTGGCGTTTTTTTAGATGATGTTAAAATGTAAATATTAGTCTTTGGGGAAACTATTAAACTGTACTAAAATATTAATTTAGTTGTATGACATTCTAAGTAATGTTTTGTTGATTTTGTTTTTTTTTTGTTTTCTTTTTTGAAACCTTGAAACCATAACCATTAAAAGTATTGAAAATTTTCTGATTTTCTCAAGTGTCAACTGACAACAAAGGACTTTTATTCTGGCATGCTTTTAAGAAAGAGCAGGGCAGGGTATTGCATCATACAGAAGACCCCAACGGTACAATGCCAAGTAGACCAGAGATGCCAGAGAACTGTAGAACTTGTAGAAAGGCAAATTTCCACTCTGTAATGTCTTCCAGGTTTCTCAAACCCTAGAGGGCGCTCCCGAGCAAGTCCAAAACGAATGGGTTAAGATGGAGCAGTGGAGCTAATTTTAGTTTATAAATGCTTAAATATTTTAAAGATAAAAGAATATGTTTATATCCTGAACACTGAACAGCATAAAACATTATAACACTGCTGTTATATTGTTAAGAGGTTTTAAACTCGAGTTACAGGAGTTTAAAACAGCGCTTTATGTACGTCCATGACATCAGTGAGCATGAACAGCCAACGAGGTGCTCCGGTCGCCAACCAATCAGCACTCAATAGCAGTAACGCTAGTGTCCTGCTGCCCAAAACCCGTTTGCTGTAGAGGAAAGAAAACATACAAGTTAGTTTTCTTTGCTTTTTTAGTGAAACACAAAATTCTGCATCCTAAAATGAAAGAAAAGTTCATTGAGGACTCACCTCGGGCGCCCTCTGCTGTTCTGCAGTCATGTTTCTGATATTACGAGAGAAATAGGAAGAGGCTCCTCATAAACCGGCTCTAGTAGACCTTTCATAAATACTGAAAAAATTGCAATATTTAGCCGCAATTAGGCTGGTTCAGCTTACCAAGTCATGTGGTGTGACCCTCTGGAAAAACCATGGAAATGTGTTTTTATTATAATGATGCTCATGTGCTTTAAAAATATGTATAACCTTAAGTCGAAGGACAAAGGATTAGACAGTTGTCCAAGTACAAAGACTGCACTCTTAAAAAAAGAGGGTTCCTCAAAGGTTCTTTAGTAAAGAAAATGGTTCTAAATAGAAACATGAACACTTACAGAACCCGTTGCATGATTAAAGTGTTCTTTGCATGGTGAAATGGTTCTTCAGATTGATGGAGAATGTGCTGTAGATGGTTCTATATAGAACCTTTTTGAAAAATGTTCTATATTGCACTGAAAAGGGTTCTTCTATTACTACAATGCCAAGCTCATAACAGTTCAAGAACCCATTTCAGTACTATATAGAACCCAGTTTCAAAAAAGTTCTATATACCATCTACAGCACATTCTCCATCAATCTGAAGAACCATTTCACCATGCAGAGAACCCTTTAATCATGCAAAGGGTTTTTGAGTGTTTATGGTTCTATATAAAACCATTTTCTTTACTAAAGAACCCTTAAAGAATCATCTTTTATAAGTCTGTAGTTTATACATGCTTTCAGTAATCATAACTTTGAATTATAATGTTTTTAATCGATGTGCCACCTGACATTTTTCTGAGTGGTAAAACTGATTATACAGTTTAATGCACATCATATCCAATTAAGGCGCCCCAGGCAATTTATGTTATGTTGATTTTCTAAGTGAAAATAAGTTGAGATCTCTACAGAGAACACACTTCTGCACATCTTAATGGACAATTACTGTCAGCGGCTGCTATATACACCAATCAGCCATAACATTATGACCACCTCCTTGTTTCTACGCTCTTTGTCCATTTTATCAGCTCCACTTACTATATAGGTGCACTTTGTAGTTCTACAGTTACAGACTGTAGTCCATCTGTTTCTCTGATACTTTGTTAGCCCCCTTTTACCCTGTTCTTCAGTGGTCAGGACCCCCCATGGACCCTCACAGAGCAGGTACTATTTGGGTGGTGGATCATTCTCAGCAGTGCAGTAACACTGATGTGGTGGTGGTGGTGTGTTAGTGTGTGTTGTGCTGGTACGAGTGGATCAGACACAGCAGTGCTGCTGGAGCTTATAAAATGGACAATGACTATAGAAACAAGGTGGTGGTCATAACGTTATGCCTGATCGCAGTATATACAAGCCCACACACACACACACACACACACACACACACACACATATATATATATGAAGTTGCAGCCGCTGACGACGTCTCTAGAACTTTATCAACAATGACATCTGACCTACACACTTAAAAAGATGGTGCTTCAAAGGTTCTTAAGTAAAAAAAAAATGGTTCTATATAGAACCATGAACACTCAAAGAACCTTTGCACAATTAAAGGGTTCTTTCCATCATAAAAGGGTTCATGTAGTTCTTTTTGAAAAGGGTTTTATATAACACCAAAAGTGTTCTTCTATCATTACAAGCTTGACATTGTATTAATACAAGAACCCTTTTTGGTGCTTTATAGAACCCTTTTCAAAAAAGTTCTATTCAGAACCATCTGCAGCACATTCTGTACTGTAGAGGACCCTTCAATCGCACAAAGCATTTTTTGAGTGTTCATGGTTCTATATAGAACCATCTTCTTTACTAAAGAATCCTTGAAGAACCATCATTTTTAAGAGCGAAGAGTGAGTGGAAGCATCCGTGTTACCAGTGTTTCTCCTGTAATTTGTCACCCATCTGTGGTTGAAACAGAGTTTTGGTTTGGATGGATATGGGAGGAGTGGAGTCACAGTTTTTTGATGGTGTCTGTGATGTAAAATATTTTAGTTTACAACTAAAATACATTTTGTCTCATACATAAACTGAACCGCAAGCCAAAAAATTCCAGGTGTCAAAAACTATGGAAGTCAAACTGACCTCAGCTCACCTTATACAGCCCCTCCAGGATCTCACTGCATTTTTGCAGAGGGTTTTGTCAGAAACTTGTAGAAGAATTTGCATTTTGAGGGGAGGTTGCGACAAAACTGTA